TGTGTGTGTGTGTGTGTGTGTGTGTGTGTGTGTGTGTGTGTGTGTGTGTGTTGTTAATGGTCTCACAATGGGTATTTTCTGTCTTTCGATTTTGTCAGTTGAGGGACAAGTCTGCATTGTACAGCGCACATAGCCTTATATGAGTAATAGGTGCTCGGTAAATTACATTATTTTTATCATTATTCCAACAGCATCATCCAAGAGAGAAATGAAACAAACCGGTAAACACAGGTGACACACCACCAGCGAAATAATGTTTCACACTGTTCTGAATATTGTAGTTGAGTTTCGTAGATCAACACCACACCACACAAACCGACAGCACCACTTCAGTAAACAAGTTGAAAAATGCACCCCAAAAATAAACAAACAAGTGAACATTAATCCACCACTGATTTCTTAACTCTAAATACAGCACGTCATAGACCGGTTATGCGCATAAAATCTGGGAAGGACCATGTAGCCACGCCAAACCAGGACACACAGAGGCCAGAAAATGGCGGCGAAATAGATAAGAGTTTTTTGTTTCGCGATTCGTTGCTGGCGTGAGGTTCGCTAAGCGGGAAAACAAATGAATGTTGTACAAAGACTTCACTTGGTCTTATCGAGTCGCAGACGACATTAGATTCTAGTAGAGAATTAATCCATGTCTTAGGCCGAGATCGGACCGACTGTAAGTCATTTAAGACCCCACAAACAGATCCAAGGTTGTGTTTTATCTAATGGTCGACACTCCCGAGTTGAGAAAATGGCAGATTGAGAAACCTCCCAGCCTGCTTCTACCTGGCGACGTAGTAATCCAAATGTACAACAAAAAAATGAAGGGGAAAAAAACCCGAAGGAAAAAAGTGGTGGTTTGAGGGCAGATGGAAAAAAAGAGTATGAGGTAGTAGTCAAAATTGGAAGGTTCGTTCTTTTATTGAATCAATGGTGTATTTTTTCTTTCTTGGGGGGAGGGCTAGACCACCATCATAAGGCAGTCTAAAGGCATGGGTCAACAATACCACTTTACAAGTAACGTGCAGTCTGTCTGTGTCACTGACTTTGATTGTTTGAGGTAGCGAGATTAAGATGGACAGACACATAATATTTATATTATTGCCAAAGAAGGCGAAAGAAAAACCCGAGGGTTGTCATCATAATGCCACAGACTTTATTCTGATGAGCGTTTTGTTGGTCTCTACGTTTCATGGTGAATGTATGACTGCGTTAAATTCAAGACCTAAAACCAAACGCCCTACTCCCTCCCCACCAAACTCTCTGTCTATGCTCCCCCCCCCCCAAGAGAACCGTTTGCCTCTTTTAGACATCTCTCTCTCTCTCTCTCTCTCTCTCTCTCGATCTATATAATGCATTATTATAAATAATATACCCGTATATCTACCTCTCTATCTCCGGATCTCTCTCTATCTCTCTATCTCTCTCTCTCTCTCTCTATCTATCTAT